CACTGCCTGTCCACACTCCATGCTTTCTTCCATCTACTTTCCAATAATTCCCTCAGACACATCCCTTCCAGTTCATAAGCCCACTCCTCAGCTGTCTCATCTGTGTCGAAATAGCTCTGGGCCTGAACTCCAGTAGTTACGCTGTATCCCATTCTTAATTCTAAAATGTATTTCTTCACCGTATCATGTTATTTTTTCCTTCTGTGTGTTACTGGGGCCCCTGACTATACCAAGGTTTTGGTCCCAACTCCTCCCCTGGTTTAGATCAACCTCTCCCTCCAAATCCAACTGCCCATCAGCCGTCACTGTTCAGTTTCTCTAAGAGACTAATGACAACTCCTAGGGCTGCTACAGGCTCTGGGGTTCCATGGTCACTTCCTTTGCTCCCCAAAGAGGTCATTCCCCTTTCCCAAGAGGTGACCATCTATTTAACTTTTTCTTTTCAAGATGGAGTTTTGCTCTTGTTGCTCAGACTGGAGTGCAATGGTGTGATCTCAGCTCACTGCAATCTCCACCTCCCAGGTTCAAATTCTCCTGCCTCAGCCTCCTGAGTAGCTGGGATTACAGGCACCTGCCACCATGCCCAGCTAATTTTTGTATTTTTAGTAGAAACAGGGTTTCACCATGTTGGCCAGACTCCTGACTTCAGGTGATCCGCCTGCCTCAGCCTCCCAAGGTGCTGGGATTACAGGCGTGAGCCACTGTGCCCGGCCTACCTACTTAACTTTTTGTTGTGCTATTTATCATGCGCAGATGTTTGAAGCAGGAGGAGTTTGGTTCCTTAGTCCACCTCCTGGCTGGAGCCACTCCAGTCTCTAGAGCCAAGGCTAAGGTGAACATGACTAATGAACCTTAAGTGGCAATGGGCTCAGCCAGTCTCATAATTAAAGAAAAAATCCTGATGTGACATATTCCCTCCAGGGAATGGCAGGGAGACACCACTGATGTGTTCCCTGTGTCCAGACAGACACCAGGAGGGTAGCCCTCTGCACTCCAGAGGGACAGCTGGAAGAGGCCAAGCCACACAGTCCCGCTGTGGCCACTCACTGATGAGGGGCTGGGCCTGTCGCTGTCTTGCTAAGAGGTATTAAACCATTATCGGGATCTCCAGACCAACACTGGCAGGATCACTGATCCTCAACATACAGCCAGTTATCTCCCCGGTCAGGTGGCAGTTCAACACCTATCTGGTTCCTGCTTCGCAAGGATGAAGTCCTCAGGTCAGAGGCCACAGCAGTACCAGCAGATGAAGGGAGGTTTTTGTAGGTCTGCTCTTAGCAGCAAGGCCTGGCTACTGCAGCTGGGCAGGGCCACGAAAGTGCACACACAATGAAGTGTAACCCTTACATAAGCATGTCTAGAACTGACGCACAACAGGAAACACATCTGGAACATGCTAAAACTGAGCAGGGCTATCTTTTCCAGAAGTGAGAGCCAGACAGTTGTAGCTTTTAAAAGCCCCCAGGTGATTATAATTCACATCCAGGGCTGAAACCCATTGGTTTGACCTTTATGTCAGCAGTCCATCCCACCCAATCTGAAACGTCTGAGATCTCCCATTAAGATTACAGGGTCCCTGGTTTTACCCCCAGACTGATTCAGGGGGAGGATGGATCTAATGAGTACCCAGGGCAATCGACTCAGCAGCGTGAGCACTCACTGAACTCTGCAGGCCCTCCTCGGGCAGCATGGCAGACATGTTCTATAGAGCATGGCAGCTGGCTTGGGGACAGGGGAGCAGAATAGGACCGCAGGCCACCAGCAGGGGAGCTGTTCTAGTAGTTGGTCACCATCTTGAAGCCTGGTTGCCCTGAACTTCTGCAACAGACCTGACATTACAAATCAAATGACCATCACTGAACACCTGTAGGTACAAAGGCAAAGCTCTCTACCAGGATCCTCTGGGACACAGAACACACCTTTACCCAAGTTACCATCCAACCCAAAATACTTGAGTTCCAATTTGTTTATTTCCTCACACATCAGTCACTTAAATACCTGACCCTTGAAGGCCTTGTGTACCTATTACAGATAGGTAAAAACGTGTGTCCTCAAAGACAACTGTCTCTTACAGAGCAGCACGGGAAGGGGGAAAGAATCTTAATGAAAAAGCAGGAGTTGGAAGCAGCACTTCAAACACTAGTCCCCCTCCAAGGATACATGGTCTCCCCCATGAGGCCTCTCCCAACCACTCCCACCACCTTAGAATCCTCTGCTGCTCCCATCGCTGCCCAACACTTCCGATCTACTCATCCATCAGTTTCCCTCTCTAGGAGTAAACGCAAGCTCCAGAAAGAAGGGCCTCCCCTCTGGCTCGGACCCATCTTCCTGAATTAAAATGCAGGTGGAACATGGCATCTGAGAGAGCTGTTGTTTGTTCAATGAACTGAATGGCAGTGGTGGCATGAGGTATAAGGAATAATAATTGGTTCATCTGGGGATAGATGGGTGTCAGGAATTCTAAAAGGCTTTATGAGAGTGGGTAGGATTACAAGTCAAGAAAGGGCTTTTACAGACAGAGGGACTGATCCAAACCTATGCAGGAATCCACACAGGTCAGTCAGATGAGGGACAGCAAAGCAAAACTCCAGCTGGGAAGACCTGTAGCCCCACCTGTTTTGCAAATGGAAAAGGAGGCCTAGGAGTGGCTCCCCACAGTTGCGAAGTTACCTCGGCCCCGGCTTCACAAACCCCACATGCAGTATAGCAGTTAATAATTTTGGGCACCACCTTTTGGGTCTACCCGTCTCCTATATACCATGTGCCGGAAAAGGCACAAGGCAAGTCTCTCGCCCAGAACCAGTGGAAGACAAATGAACTCATTAGCCTTTACAAAACATACTTTAAAAAAAAAAAGGCAGTCTCACTTTTGCCCAGGCTGGAGTGCAGTGGTGCAATCTCAGCTCACTGCAACCTCCACCTCCCAGGTTCAAACAATTCTGCCTCAGCCTCCCACAGTGCTGGGATTACAGGCATGAGCCACCTGTAGACTGAAACACTTGTTTCCCTTTCAACTGATTAGGAAACAGTCTGAGTTGGGAGAAGTTAATCCTCACATTATTCAGCTAATGAGACAGAATCCTAAAACCTGATTCTAACTTCTGCCTGTATCCCACAATGCAAGGCAAAGCCTTTATTTTAATGTTATATAAGTATAAGGACTATATAATCTGGATTCGTTAACTTTAGGTAACAATAACTTAAAAGCTAGGGAAAGATATACAGATTTAAAAATTGACTATACAATAAATGATGAAAACTAACAACAGAACACAACAATGTTCAAATAGTGAATACAATTAACAAATGGGGCCAAAAGGCCAACATTTATCTCGCATCATCTTTCAAGCAACGTCTCAGCTTTTTTCTCCCAAACATAAAGGCAGATTAATTCAAAGTAGCCCTATTAAGAATATTTGTTTGTGTCCTTCTGAAATTAATATTTGAATGGAAACTATATTAATAACTCACGGCTTCTCCTAAACATAAAGACAGATTTTCTTTTCTATCAAACATAAAGGCAGATTAATTCAAAGTAGTAGCCCTATTAAGAATATTTGTTTCCTTCTGAAATGAATATTTGAATGGAAACTGTATTTATAACTCATGGTTTCCTACTGAAGTTTAAGATTCCCCTAGATGATGGTCAGATTTAGACAATGCTAGAAGATGACACCCGGCAATTATTTCAAAGTATGAACTACAGGCAAAATCTAAAAGGACATACATAATTAAAAATCCCAATTTAAAAAACATAGTAAATATAAATGAATTAACTCACACAACCTACTGACATACAAACAAAACTAGGATAAACAACAATTTTGCCACTTAACAAAAGCAAGATCTTAGGTGGGTCATTGTGTTTAAGGATGACTTGAAATTTTACAATACTACCTTAGCTCCCACATATGAAAACTCTTCAAGAATCTTATCAACCAGAAGTTGGACAAACTACAGTGAGAAATAAAATGAAACGGCTTCTCACCCATATGAAGGCCCAGATCATGCCTAAATTTCTAGGGATTTAACTTAAGAAGCTCCTTGCCCTGAGATTCCTTGATCCCACAACACTCTACTCAGATGGGGCAGAGAATCCCAGAACGCTACCCAAGCCACAGAAGAAACACACAACCCATCTTATATCTGGCACCAACAGACTGATATCTAGCTATACACAGCATTGACTTTAAAGTTGGTTAATGAGTATTTTAATTCATTAAAATAAAAGTTAGAAATTACATGCTTAGTCTATACAAGTTTAATTTACTTTAATCTGTTAGTGAATTGTGAATTGGCTCCTGTTAGTGGTCAGGAGAATGCTTTGTATTTGGTGTAGAAACCAAATAAATCAAGCTATTATCATCTTTTGAGTACAAACAATGTTTGTTTGTAAAGTGCCAGTTTTATATTTAAGTAAACATGAAAATCTGCATTGAAGCAGTGAGGCTGCATCTTTCAACTGCCTGTGCTGGTTAAATGAAATGTTTAATCCTGCTGTGTCAAGCTCACTAGAAGGTCACCCGTAAGACTGTCACTGTCACTGCTATGATAGTCACAGTCAGCCAGCCAGCCTGCTAGCAAAGGGTGATAGTACCAGCATTATAAATAAACAGGACTGGTTGTGAGGTAGCTACACAGTTTTAAAGATGCTGTTAATGAACATTATGGACAATGCATGGTGTAGCTAGTTGATAACACTTTAGCTGATTTTTTCATGAGGTGGAAAAATAAAAATCAGCAAAATAAAGGCACATCTTCAGTTCATCTAGAAGTCAGCATCCAAGGTAAAAGAATTCTCTGTTGGACTTGACATCACTCCCATCCTCTGATACTCGCCTACTCTCTTCTCAAAGAAGTTAGTCTTTCCTTCCAGTGAAATATTCTCCATAAAGTCAAATGGATTCTCTACTCTGAAAACCTGAAAAGGTTCACATCAAGACATAAATACAGAGCACCAGTTTCAAAACAAGCAGAAGGCTATTTAAACAATACTTTACCTTGCTAAAACCCAGTTCCAGCATAAGTCTGTCTGCTACAAACTCAATGTATTGCTTCATTAGAGTGCAATTCATCCCAATGAGCTTCACAGGCAAGGCCTCAGTGAGGAACTCCTAGGAACCAAAATACAGCTTCTGAATACAACTAAAGCCGACATTTTCTAGCAAGCTTGAGTGACCCCTTTCATCACCCGCTTACCTGTTCTATCCGAACAGCATTGAGAATTATTTCTCTTACTCTCTCCTCTGATGGTTTGTGTACTAGGTGTTTGAACATCAGGCAAGCAAAATCACAGTGTAAACCCTAGGAAAAAAAGTACAAGATCACTTAAGCCAGAAGACTTGTCATTAACATAGAAATGAAATGACTTTATCCTTTTCTGCATTCTCCTTATCCAACATACTCATATTGAGAGCACTTGAACTCTCAAAGGGAAGACAACTAACTACTGGCTTCTCTTCTGCTGATGCCACCAAGGCAAGCTCAGTCCCACTCAAGGCCCTCAAAGTTGCCACCTAGATAAAAACAGGCAAGGTCTATTTCTTGCTCTGCTCTGTGTGGTGGCAAAGGAGGAGTCAGAGCTTCACTCAAAATATTCTTTCTACAGCCATGAACACTTATTTTGCCACTACTCCCAGAAGGAAAGGCAAAACTCAGTGATGAGGTTAGTTCGTATATCTTCAGGAAGGTTGTATGCAATTTCACGTAAATCAAGTTTGCAAGTTAGCCCATTAAACCCCAAGCTTATCTCCCGATCCAGTAAGGAAGGTCCTCCTATAAGGTAAGACCAACCAAGTTTGATTTGCCCACTGGACTCCAAGTAAGATGCTTCTTCCTTTTCAAATGTGATTTAATCAAAGACATACGCTAGACCAAAATGTATACTCATTCCATTGAGATGCTAACACTGAAGTAGAGAGGTAATTTCTAGATCAAACAGGAGAAACATAATGGCTACTATGAACATTTATGGAAAAGGGGATCACATATAATATCAGGCAAAAATAAAACATTCCTTAAAATCCCAATCCCATTAAGAATTTGTAGTTTTGGCCAGGTACAGTGGCTCGTGCCTGTAATCCCAGCACTCTGGGAGGCCAAGGCGGGAGGATCACCTGAGTTCAGGAGTTCAAGACCAGCCTGGCCAATGTGGTGAAACCCATCTCTACAAAAATACAAAAATTAGCCCTGCATGGTGATGGGCGCCTGTAATCCCAGCTACTTGGGAGGCTGAAGCAGGAGAACCGCTTGAATCTGCAAGGCGGAGATTGCAGTGAGCCAAGATCACACCACTGCAGTCTAGCCTGGGCGACAGAGCAAGATTCTGTTCCCCCAAAAAACAAACTTGTACTTTTTTACACATTCAAAGCCTATAAGGCAATAGGTATATACTAATGTATTATAGAGAATACAAGTAAAATAATTTCAGTAAATTAAAGTATTTCCTTCTTTTGTCAAGTATGTGTATGGTCGAACTCACACATTAAACATGGATATATGCCATCTAGTATCTCAGGTCCCCATCAGTAAACGCCAGAGCATGCCCGAGTTGTGTCTGGGACTCCAGTTACCCTATGATTTGATTCAGACTCACCTCATCTCTGCTAATAAGTTCATTAGAAAATGTGAGGCCAGGCATCAGTCCTCGTTTCTTGAGCCAGAATATGGATGCAAAAGAACCAGAAAAGAAGATGCCTTCCACTGCAGCAAAGGCTACGACGCGTTCACCTATTTAAGAGTTAACAGCAATAGGATTCTAGTGAGTAACTGTTGGTATTCATAGGAAGGGTCAACAATCCAGTAACATTACATGGAAAATGAAGCTCAAGCTGAAGTGGGGGCAAGGGTCTCCTTACCATAGGTAGCCTCTTTGTCCCCAATCCAGCGCAAGGCCCAATCTGCCTTCTTCTTGACACAAGGCATCGTTTCAATGGCATTGAAGAGAAATTCCCTAGTAGGCACACACAGCATCAGCAATTGAAGTATTACAGTAAAAGACCCCCGATTACCAGCTGCTAGATAAGAGCTCTGGGACAAAGGCCAAATTCAAGTATTTGCTGATTCTCTTCTCAAAGGAAGAACCCATGTCAAAATGTTTTATTTTTATTGGTCAGCTTTTCCCTCCAGTGTTCTTTTAAAAGTCTCAACATTTGATTTACGTTAATACAAATGTGGGTAATCTGTAGTTCATATGGAGCTTCAGGGTCTACAAACAGTAAAACGTGGGTCAGTACAGCAGGGACATTTGTTGCCTTTATTATTTCAAGTCCAGGTCATAGTTCCATGTGACGAACCATAAAATTTAAAGAACCATAAAATCCTAACTGCCATGCTATTATCAGACTATCCCTGGGTGCATTATTTGGCCCCAATTGCCACATCTCTATCATAAAATAATTAAACCAATAAACAAAGATTGCTTCCTACTAAAATTCTGTCCTACACTGTCAATCCCAGGTCAGCAAAGTAAATCCATGGGTATTAGTTAAGTGGGTCTCCCTTACCACTCTTCTGGTGCCCACCTTGAGAGGCTACTGATTTCTCAGCCTGTTCCTACCAGATGACCTTGTGTTCTGAAGCCAAGGTCACCAGACATTGGGCAGCTTTCATTTCTGTTTATTTATTTAAGGGATGAGGGTCTCACTCTGTTGCCCAGGCTAGAGTGCAGTGAAATAATCATAGCTCATGTTAAAACCAAACTCCTGGGCTCAAGCCATCCTTCTGCCTCGCTGTGCCAAGTGGCTGGGACTCACACTACCACATTTGGCTGCCTTTTATTCTCTTTCCATCTCACTGTCCTTCTCTTTGAGACCTGGGTCTGCCTCTCCCTTGCTTTTGAGGCTTCCCCAGAACTTCCTGAATCCACCCATTCTCCTTCTGGTCATTTGCCCCCAGTCGTACCCCTAATCTTTGCCTTCTTTTCTCAATTTCCACCTATATAAACATATTCAAATCTCTTCACCCAGAACGAGTTTCTTCAGTCCTTTCAAGTTACCACTTTCCTGTTCATGCACTTCTAATTTTACAACAGCCACATTAGGTTTCAGCTTCACCACTTCTACTCCATATGGAGGCTCCAGTCCCTAAAGCTGACCTTAGTGTCTAGACTACTCCAACAGCCCGTTTCTAACCCATCGCCTCCAATCAATCTCCAAAACATAAAACAGACCTAATGCTATCTTTATTCAGTCAAACTGCTGCATACCTAAATCCATCTCAGGGCTCACTGCTGCCTCTGCCTGTGTAACTCCTCTTATTTGCCTGTAGTGTACTGCAACCCCTCAGCAGGAAGTCCTCCCCGCCCTTCATCCTGCTGCAGCCCCACATTCTAGTTTCTCAACAAATTTACCAAATGACCAAAGATGGTCAGACATAGGTTTTAGTTTGTCTTACCCAACATGTAGGAATTCCTTCAAAAAAAGGCTTTAGATTGGTAGGCATCCAACTCTAAAAGTGGAGCACCTTCACAACTCTACGTGAATAATAAAGTGAATTTAGGCCCCTTGCTAAGAGCAGACATGACCACGGGTGCTGGAAATGTCTATGTCTGCTTAGTCATTCTGGAGTCATTTTTATCCCTAGATGAACTAAAACTTTGCCACAAATCAACAATTAAAGAGTCCTAAAAATCTTGGCATACCACTTGAATACCCACCTTTCGCTGGGATCTTTTATGTAAGTGTCAATAAGGAGACTATACATTTCAGAATGAATGTTTTCCATGGCAATTTGGAAGCCATAGAAACAGCGGGCTTCTGTGATCTGAACTTCTTGGCTAAATCGCTCCACCTAGTGGCAAAACACAAAGTCAAGCTTGAGAAAAAACTGGCGACAGCAACTCTTGTCAATGGATGGTAGCATCACGTTCTGCACCCTTGTAAGATTTCTTTCTATATATATTTCATCCAATTCTTCACAATTCTGTGACAAAGTGTGATATTTTATATCCTATGCTCAATTTACAGATCAGGAAATAGAAACATATAAAATAGGATTTCTTTGAGCACTCAATTATTTCCTAATTTATGTCAAGAAAGATCTGTTCATAGTAAGAGATACAACCAAATTACTATCTAAACAGCAAAGCCACCAAAAGGAGGGAGCAGGGCCGGGCGTATTGGCTCACGCCTGTAATCCCAGCACTCTGGGAGGCAAGGCGGGTGGATTACCTGAGGTCGGGAGTTTGAGAACATCCTGGCCAATACCGTAAAACCGTCTCTATTAAAAATACAAAAACTAGCCAAGCATGGTGGTGCACGTCTGTAATCTCAGCTTCTCAGGAGACTGAGGCAGGAGAATCGCTTGAACCCAGGAGGCAGAGGGTGCAGTGAGCCAAGATCGCACCACTGCACTCCAGCCTGGGTGACAGTGAGACTCCGTTTTTGTTTTTTTTTTTTTATTTAAAAAAGGCGGGAGCAGATGTGCTGGCCACAGGAAGTCAGCCTGTTACTACCACTGATCATGGCCTCAGTTTCTCTAGTCAGGAAAATACCATGCGGAAGAAAGAACTGCAAAGAGTGTTACACACAGGAAATGCCGTGTAATCTAAAAACCGGCTTACACACACACACACGCACTGAGCGTGGAAAACGCTGGACTTACAAGACAAAGAGAGACAAGAGAGCGCCCTAGTCCGACCTCAGATCGTCAAGGGAATGAGAGAGTTCGTCTTGGAAACTCACCAGGTTTTCATTCACTATGCCGTCGCTCGCTGCGAAGAAAGCCAGAACGTGGGATATGAAGTATCTCTCCTCGGGCTTCAGGGACTCCCAGTGCCGAATGTCCTTGGACAGGTCCACCTGCGGTTCGGTGGTCACAACTTCAGCATGAACAACAGCGGAGCCTGCAGGACTCACGCTGAGCTTCCCAGGCAGCCCCCCTCGCCAACCCGGACCCCCAAGTGCATTTCCGGGGCGTCCCGGGGGCCCCTGCCGGGCTCTCCTGGGGTCCTCCGCTTACCTCCTCGGCGGTCCAGAAGGAGGCCTCCGCCTTCTTATACATCTGCCAGATGTCCTGGTACTTGATGGGGAAGATGACAAAGCGGCGCGGGTTTGCTCTCAGCAGCGGCTCCTCCTCCACGCCGGGGGCGGCTGCTCGAGTTTTCTGCTGGGGGAGAAAGTAAAACACTGAAGCACGGGCGAGCCTCATCAAACTGTCGTTTTCCTGGGCCAAGTCCGTTCCATTGGCGGCAATTTCGTGGGGCCCCATGTGGAAGGATGGAAGGAAACGTGGCTGTCCCGTCGCGCTCCGTGGGTCACAGCAGGGGAGCGCACGCCCGAACCGGGAAACCGGCCGCCCTGGGGAGGGGCCGCCTTGGCGGGAAAGGCGCCGGCGCGGGAGTGGGAACAGCTGAGGGAACAATGCAGCGTTGGCGCCAAGACGCTCAAGGCCGCCCCCGGCCCCTCTGCCCCACGCCCGCCACTCACCGGCTCCGCCGGCTCCTGGAAGATCCTCCTCGCGGTCTTGCTGGCCAGGACCCGGGTCCCGTTCAGGGCCGGGGGCTGCGGGGAGACGCGTGTGAGTGAGGGGCGGCCGGCCTCGCCTTCCCTGCCTCCCTCCCCCGCCCGCAGCGCCCGCCCCGCGCTCACCGTGTTCTCCTTGTCGACCAGGCTGAGCCCCTTCAGCGGCGAGAGCTGCAGCTGCTGCGGGTCCGTGATGGGCGCGAGCGGGACGCGGACGGAGAGCATGGTGGCGGCGCGACGAAGAAGAGCTGGCAGCCGGGGCCGGGCGGCTGGGAAGGGGTGCACGGGCAGCACACCGACTCAGCCCTCTTTAAATCTCCCTCGCCGCGTACTCCCAGCCCTCCCCATTGGCTATGCAGTGCCCCGACCCTTCCCATTGGCTGCGCCTTGCCCCTACCCAGGCTGGCCGTAGGGCCGCGCGCAATTTTCAAGCGCTGCGCGGGAGCCTCAGCCAGTGTCTTCCGGAGACCCCCGAGGACGCCCCCGGGACTTCCCGGGATCCCCACTATCCGCTGACTGAGTCGGGGGTGCTGCCGCCCGGTCCCCCGCGGGTCCCACGAGACCAGGGTCGCAGCCCCTGAGGGTCTCGGAGGACTTGGCGCGCGCGGGCCCCAGTTCGCCAGGGAACCGTTTGGGGTTGCGTGAGGCGCAGCGATTGGAGCCCGCCGGCGCGAGAGTATCCCCGGGCCCCGGCCCCGCCTCCCAAAAGTGCCTCCTCCCAGCCCGGTGGCGGCCGGGCGGGGGGCTTAGCCAACGAGGTTGGTGCAAAGGTCTGGAAAACGCTCCCAGCTGCAGGGGAGGCGTTGCTGCCACCCTTTCGATCCGTGTCCCTGGGTGGGGTTGCAAGGGCCCCGAGGCCTGACACTTTGGCGGGGTGGTCGGCGAGGACCCTACAGCCTAAAAGTTAGAGCCGCTGAGCCCCGCGGCTCCTTTTGCTGTAAATGGAATAAGCGACCAGGCTTCTTACAGATTCGGTGTCCCCGAGGGTAAAATGGGACTCATAACAGTACCCACCGCGTGGGGTGTTAATACGGTGAGGAGCGTGATCGTTGAGATGACTCATGAAAAATGTGCAGTCCTTTGTAAACCTTCAAACTCCAGGACACGGAGAGAAGGCCCATGGTGCAGTTTTCCACTGAAATCCTGTCTCCAGTCAGGCGCCTGTCCCGTATTGTCACCCTCGCCTTAACTGCAAAATGGCTGGGCGCGGTGGCTCACGCCTGTAATCCCAGCACTTTGGGTGGCCCAGGCAGGAGGATTGTTCGAGGCCACGAGCTGGAGACCAGCCTGGGCAACATAGTGAGACCACCCCCCGCCATTAAAAGAAAAAAGTTGTTTTAATTACAAAGTGGGCGAAAACTCCTGGGAGAAAGCTCACAGAATGACTTTTAGAACTAGGAATTAGTATACTACTCACTGGCTTTCTGATTTGCCAGGCCCTGCAATGGGCAAAATGCCAAAAATAAAGGAGAAAGAAACTTTAACAGGAAAGAAATCATTAACCTGAGAAAGCTTCAACAGCTGCACTCGGGGTGTTATTTAGAGACTCTGGACTTTTTTTTACAAAGCCTTTTCTAGACAAGATACTTTATAGAGGGTGGGGTGGGGCAGGTGCCCTCACCACCTACGGTTTCTCCCATTAATTAAAAGTACTACAGACTTGTATTCAAAGTATTCTCGTGTTGCGGAGATAAGTAGTGAGCATCACATTCCTTACACAAAGCCACAACTAAAACTTCGATGTGCATCATTTGTTTAAAGCAACTCGCAGACAGTGCCAGTTTCACCCCAACACACTAAAGCATCCGTCTCCAGGAAACTGGTATTTTTATTGATAATTTTATGGCTGATAAACCCATTATCTAACAAAATTACAATTTGTTGGTGTCATTTCATACCCAACTCAGATTTCAACTTCCCATAATCAACATCCAAAGCCCTCGTTTCGGTTGCCCTGGGGCGCTCTATGCTTTTTTACTCCTGTTATACTCACTGGAACTGAAGCAGCCAGAGGTGGCTTCATTTATGGTTTAGTTCCTGGCCACGTAAATAACATAGCCACTGTAGAAGTAGTGGAAAGATGCGTACGTGTTAGAGGCCGGGTGATCCCTTCCCGCGCCGAGCCTGCGTCATCTTGGCGTGGCCCTCCTCCCCCCAGGTCCGGTATCTTTGCCCCACTGCGGAGGAGGTGGTGGCGCCCAGGACCACGCGGCGAAGCTGGAGGTTCCGCCCCTGGGGGTGCCAGGCGGTGCAGCCACTCCCGGGAGGGCGCTCGCTGCAAGCGCAGGGGATTTACTCCTTTTTCCCGGAGTAAAGCGCAGGGGAATCCCGGAGTAAAGCGCAGGGGATTTACTCCTTTTTCCCTCGGTGCTCGTTTTATTGGTTTTGTTTAAGCAAACAGAGGTGACTGCTTTAGGCTGCCCAGGATGGTCTCAAACTGCTGGCCCCAGGAGATCCCACCTCCTCCGCCTCCCTAAGCGCCGGGATTCCTGGCGGGAGCCACTTGGGCGCGCGTTTTGACATCGGCATTTACTCCACCATTGGTCCGCACGGGAGGCCCCGCCCCGCCCCCCGGAAGGCTCCTCTACGTCCCCAGCCTCGGGCGCCCCGCCCCGTTTCCGCTGCGCGCGCTCCGAACACACGCCCTGCTTGTGCAGGTTTGCAGGTCCCTGGCCAAGGTTAGCGCGGGTTCCAAAAGGCTGTTCCTACCTGTCCACCATTAAGGTGGAAAAACCGCGACCCGGGGAGCTGAGGATTCGCTGTGTACCAGACGCCATGCTGAGGGTGGTCATAATAATAATTAAAGCTGCAGCACCCACAGCCTCTGGGCGCTTGGCTCATGTGAGGCTGGCTTGTGTTTTTTGTTTTGAGACAGGGTCTCGTTCTGTTGCCCAGGCTGATGGCTCGATCATAGCTCACTGCAGCCTCGACTTTCCGAGCTCAAGCCATTCTCCCACCTCAGCCTCCCAAGTAGCTGGGACTACGGGCATGCACCACTATGCCAGACTAATTTTTAAATTTGTTGTAGAGATGGCTTCTCAGTATGTTACCCAGGCTGGTCTTGAACTCCTGGGCTCAAGCCATCCACCCGCCTTGGCCTCCCAAATGCTCAGATTACAAGCATGAGCACAGACCAACCAGGATTGGTATTTTTAACCTTGTTTCACCAGTAGGGAAATGAAGGCCTGAGAGGCAAGGAAACTGCCCAAGGTCACACAACAGAACGTTTCTACCCTGACTTTTTATTATGGTTGTTTTCAACATGCAGAATAATGGAAAGATTTCTACTGTTCACCCACAACCTCAGATTCCACAGCTGTTTCCATTTTGCCATATTTGCTTCCAGCAAATAAAGCAAATACCCTCTGTGGGTATGTGAGGCTTATGCTTTTTTATGGATCATTTGAAAGTGAGGGATAGATATCATGACTCCCCTCAAATGTTTCAGCTCCTAAAAATAAGGACACTCTGCCATCACCACAATACCACACTTACACCTCAGAAAGCTGAAATAGTTCTGCGGTGTCACCTAATATCCAGTACACATTCCTGTTTTTCCACTTTTTTCAAAAATGTCTCATAGTTATTTTGGATTTTTTTTTTCATACAGGATCTAATTCAGTACATGCATTGCATTTGGTTATTATGTGTCACTTTAGTCTCTTAGTAAAGCTCCTCCACTTCTTTTCCCCACACATTGACTTTGAAGCGCAAGCCAGTTTTCTTGTAGAATGTCCCACATTCTACACTTGCCTGATTGTTTATTCATCGTGTCAATTAATTTGTTTTCCTGACCCCTGTATGCTACACTGGAAGTAGGTCAAAAGGCTTTATTATTAGGCCCTGCTCCGTGGCTCACTCCTGTAATCCCAGCACCTTGGGAGGCTGAGGCAGGCAGATCACCTGAGATCAGGAGTTTGAGAGCAGCATGGCCAACATAGGGAAACCCCATCTCTACTGAAAATACAAAAATCATCCAGATGTGCTGGCAGACACCTGTAATTCCCACTACTTGGGAGGCTGGGGCAGGAGAATCGCTTGAACCTGTGAGGCAGAGTTTGCAATGAGCTGAGATCACACCATTGCACTCCAACCTGGGCAACAAGAACAAAACTCCTCTCAAAAAAAAAAAAGAGAAGAAGAAGAAGGCTTTATTAGACTTAAGTTAAAAGTTATTGGCAAGAAGACGTCTTAGGTGATAATATAGCTAGGATTTGTTTGTTTGTTTGTTTGAGATGGAGTCTGGCTCTGTCACCAGGATAGAGTGCAGTGGCACGATCTCCACTGCAACCTCTGCCTCCCAGGTTCAAGTGATTCTTCTGCCTCAGCCTCCCAAATAGTTGGGACTACACAGATGCACCACCACGCCCAGGCTGGCGGCTGGTAAAAATACAATAATTTTTGTATTTTTAGTAGAGACAGGGTTTCATCATGTTGGCCAGGATGGTCTTGATCTCTTGACCTCGTGATCCGCCCACCTTGGCCTCCCAAAGTGCTGAGATTACAGGCATGAGCCACCACACCTGGCCCTACAGCTAGGATTTGAACCCAGGTCTGACTAACTCCAGAATTCCAGACTCTCAAAAACTTTGTTTTAATATGAACTGCAGGCCAGGCGTGGTGGCTCACGCCTGAAATCCCAGCACTTTGGGAGGCCGAGGTGGGCGGATCACGAGGTCAAGAGAACGAGACCATGGTGAAACCCTGTCTCTACTAAAAAATACAAAAATTAGCTGGGTGTGCTGGCGCACATGCCTGTGGTCCCAGCTGCTCAGGAGGCTGAGGCAGGAGAATTGCTTGAACCTGGGAGGCAGAGGTTGCAGTCAGCCGAGATTGCGCCACTGCAATCCAGCCTGGCACCTGGTGACAGAGCACGACTCTGTCTCAAAAAAAAAGAACCGCAAATTACATTGTTTTTGTTTGGGGTGTGTGTGTGTGTGTAGACGAGGTCTCATTATATTGCCCAAGCTGGTCTCAAACTCCTGGGCTCAAGCAATCCTTCTACCTCAGCCTCCCAAAGTGCTGGAATGACAGGCATGAGCCTTTGAGCCCAGCTCAACGTTCTTAACGTAGCACAGCACAGCACTCAGAAGTTGGCAGGAAATGGTTAAGCAGGAAGCTGGTTGGACAACCAGATGGAGCTGTTTGATGTTGATGTGTCACCACATCATAAGTGTCTAGAACATTCGAACTGGACAGCTCCAGCCACTGAGAGGCCATTTTCAGGGGATGGTGAGGATGAGGATGAGGATGAGGATGAGGATGAGGCAGCCCAGGGCAGAGCCTTTGGGAGCAGTGATTTTCTTTGTGCTCAGATAACCTCCAAACTGGTGTTGAAAAGTGATGTGCCCATTTGCACACATTTCAAGTGACCTTTAGCCAGGCATAGTGGCACACCCTTATGTTCCCAGCTACTCCAGAGGCTGAGGAAGGAGAACTGCTTGAGACCAGGCATTTGAAACCAGCAAGACCCCTGTCTCTAAAACTAAAATAAATAAATAAGAATTAAACTGATGTTTAAACTTTTTGTCATATGTTAAATAGTTACAGGGGATGTAATCTAATCTTGTTGCAAATATTAGTCCTTTAAAATGACAACTGGACGGGCATGGTGGCTCACAGCTGTAATCCCAGCACTTTGGGAGGCTGAGGTGGGAGGATGGCTTGAGCCCAGAAGTTCAACACCAGCCTAGGCAACATAGTCAGACCCTGTCTCTGAAAAATAAAAAATTAGCTGATTGTGGTGGCACGCACCTGTGGTCCCAGCTTTTCAGGAGGCTGAAGCAGGAGGATTGCTTGAGCCCAGGAGGTTGAAGCAGTGGTGAGCCATGATCACACCATTGCATCAACCCGGGCAACAGAGCAAGATGCTCTCTCAAAGTAAATATATAAAAAGAAGAAAGCAACTATGTGCTTTTAACTCTTAGAATTTAGAATCCACATATTTCAGTATGTTTGTTATTCTTATTTTAAAATTCTTAGTCTGTCACATCTCTCTCTCTCTCTTTTTTTTTTTTTTTTTTTAAATAAATAGGCTTGCTCTGTCACCCAGTCTGGAATGCAGTGGTGCAATAATTGCTCACTGCAACCTTGAACTCCTGGGTTTAAGCAATCCTCCTGCCTCAG